AGACACATTTTTCAAATTTTTCTGCTTTGCTTTCCGCTTCGGATTATCATAATAAACTTGGCAAAAAGCCCCTATTAATATTCATGCCACCGCCTGAATGTCTCGCTGCCTGGCAGTTTCTTCTGCTAGACTAAGGAGTCCATTGCTTGTCAACTCAGCCCCACAGAAAGTCCCGGGACAGGGCAAAATGCAGACAGCTTCTCAGTCAGAACATAATGAATGGCCTCTGGTCCACTTTCCCGTAGAGTCCTCCTCCCCTGAGACCTCGTGAGCCCTGTCACAGCCTCCTTGTCATCTGGTCTCTGAACGCCGCCCACCAGAATTGCCCGTTCAGCAATTACCACAACCTACAGATTTTCCAGCTTGTCACTTTAAACTTTCCAAAAACTTCCTCCCACAATTTCCAAAAAGCTCCCCAAGCTTCTGAACCACATGGTCAGGTTTGTCACAGTAATGACCCCACCTCTCCCTACCAATTTCTGCTTTATTCAGTTTTTTCTTTGCTATGATTAAAAAAAACAAGAACAATTTTCGAGGGGGGTGAAATTTATTTGGGGGCTCATGGTTTCAGAAGTCTTGGTCCATAGACAGCCAGCTCCATTCCTTGGGGCTCGAGGTGAGACAGGACATCATGGCAGAAGAATGTGGAGGAGGAGAGCAGCTGAGAACAGGGAACCAGGAAGCAGAGAGAGAGCTCTGCTCAACAGGAACAGAATAAATAGCCCAAAGCACACCCCCAGGGACCTGCCTCCTCTTGCACACCCTACCTGCCTATAGTTACCACCCGGTTATCCCTGCCAGGGGATTAATGCACTGATTAGTGCATTCATTAGTGCATTAGTGCATTAATGACCTTTGTTGCATTGGCTCATACATGAACTTTGGTGGAACGCCTCACATCTAAACCATGGCAGATATAAAACTATAAAATATAGCTATGGTATCTTGGGACGCTTTACAGATTATGGATGTTCATAATGCCTGAACGTGTTACTTTCATAACAAGACGTGATAAAGCTTCACTAAAACGTGCTCTTGGGGTTGGGGTTGTGGCTTAGTGGTAGAGCACTTGCCTAGCAAGTGTGAGGCACTGGGTTTGATTCTCAGCACCACATATAAATAAATAAATAGATAAATAAATAAATAAGATCCATCAACAACTAAAAAAAAATTAAAAAAAAAACATGCTCTTGAAGAGAACAACAAAAAAAAAGTCAGCACTATTTATTGAGCACATACAGTATGCTGGGCTCTGTGCCCCTTCGCTTCATCCACACAATTCCTCCCAGCAGCAGTGCTTGGGTGACATCACCTAGTCTCCCATGCAGCAGGCATTACAGTGTCCGGCCTCCACAGAAGGTGGCTGAAGAAGTGGCTTGTGGTCCTTCTCAGAGCCCACTTGGGTTAGTCAGCTTTTTGTTGCTGTGACCAAAATACTTGCAAGAACAACTTAGAGGAGGAAAAGTCTATTTGGGCTCACATTCCAGAGGTCTCGGTTTGTGATTGGTTGACTCCATTGCCCAGGGCCTAGGTCAGGCGGAACTTCATGGAGGGAGGGTGTGGAGGAAGAGAGCAGCTCAGCTCATGGCTGATAGGAAGGGGGATGGGAGAGAAGGAGGAAGGAGCCAGGGGACAGATATAATCCAGGCCATAATCCCCAGTGACCTACTTCCTCCAACCACACCCCACCTGCCTACAGTAACCACCCAGTAGCCCTTTCAAAGGATTAAGCCATCCAAGGGCTTAATCCGCTGATGGGCTTCCAGCCCTCACAGTACAGTGTTTTCACCCCTGAACATTTTTTTCGTTGCCTAATGCCTGAGCTTTTGAGGGACCCTTCAAGATTCAAACCCTAATGCTGTGTATTATTATTGCTAAAGAATTTTTATCCAAATCCAGAATGATTTCATCCTGGGGCCTGCATCACATGACTTGATCAGAGCCAGGAAGAGCATCAGAATGACCTGGAAGGCTCCTTTAAACCCAGATTCCTGCAGAGTCTCTGCTCTGGTATATCTAGAGCGGAGCCTGAGAGTTTTGCATTTTCACCAGCTTTCCCAGCAACAGTGTTGCTGCTGATTCAGGCTTTGGTAGGCGTTCTCCAGAGAAACAGAACCAGTAGTGTGTGTGTGAGTGTGTGTGTGTGTGTGTGTGTGTGTGTGTAGGCACGCACACACACACTCCTGAGAAGCACTTCAGTCAACAACAAACTGCATGTACTGTGGCGGTCCCGTGAGATGGTATCACCTGGGGACAGGCCATCTCAGTCTGTGTAAGTACACTCTGCGATATTTGCACGGTGATGAAATTGCCTGACTCACTTCTCAGAAGCACCCTTGTCAGTAGGTGACGTGTGGGTATCATGAAGCATTGGCTGCGGTGGCTGTGGAAGCCATGTGAGCTTTCTACCTCTGTGACAAAATACCTGCAATAATCAACTTTCTTAAAAGTGGAAAAGAGTGTTTGTTTCAGAGGTTTTGGTCCATGCTCTCTTTGGGACGGTGGTGGCACAGTATGTCGTGGCAGCAGGAGCAGTGGGAGAGGTGGCCTGTTCGCCTCATGGTGGCCAAGAAGCCAAGAGGAGACAGGAAGTGTTGGGGCCCCAATATCCCCTCGTCGGCGTGCCCCCCAATGACCTAACTTCCTTCCATTGGTCTCCGCCTCCTAAAGGTTTGGCCTCCTCCCAGTCATGCCCCAAGCTGATGACCAAGCCTTCAACTTGTGGCCTTTGGAAGCTTTCCAGATCCAAACTATGGTGGAGGCTGAGCCCCACGGTCCGCTTCTGCAAATGGGAGACCCAGAAAGCCAGGGGTGTAGTTCAGTCTGAGTCCAGAGGCCTGAGGACCAGGGGGCTGCTGGTGTCAGTATATCCAAGGGCTGGGGGTGAGGCCAGATGCCATGTTCCCACTCAGGCCAGAAGCAAGAGGGGCCAGTGCCTCCTTCCTCCTCCTTTTGTTCTATTTGGCACCTCAACTAATTGAATGGAGCCTCTCAGGTGGGCGACAGCAGCCTGCGTTATCTCTCCAGCATTTATAAACACCCTCCAGACACACCGGAAACCAGGCTTCATCCGGGCACCCATGGCCAGTCAAGTTTATACCAAAATTAACAGCAATTCAGACCCCGACTCCGAGGACACCAAGTCAGAGGCACTAGGCAGGTGTCAGGACTCGTGATGTGCACGTGTGTCTGTGTGAGGCCTGCTTCCTCCCTGAGTGCGTTACTATGTCCGGGGCTGTGGATGGGACTTGGCCCTCATTCTCCTACCTTGGCACAGGGAAAGGAGTCCTGGAAATGAAGTAAGGTACAAGTAACTGTGAGTGCTGGGACGTAGTTTGAGAAATGGAAACCCTAAGACATGGGGGATGCTGCCACTGGGGGTGATCAGGAAGGCAGTCCCAGGTGGTTGAATTGAGCCCATGGGAGGGGGTCATGTGTGTTCATTGGGGGAGGGGGCTGCAGCAATGGCAAGGGTTCCTATGAACCCCAAGGGTTACAGGGAGTATAAAATTTCCTTAAGCCTTGGGGCATGGACTACTACATCCTGTTTGGAATGATACCTCTGGCTTATTCCAGGAGCAAGACATTTTTGACATGTGCTGTGTGAGTGTGTGTGTGTGTGTGTGTGTGTGCACGAGCATGGGTATGAGAGGGAGAATCTGAGAAATTAGCTCTTTTCCTCTTTGTCTTGGCAGTTTTCAGGAGCTCTTAAATGCCGCAGTCCGGCTGCAGCAAAATAACCGGGGGGTGACGAACAACTTGTGTAGATTGATAGATCAGGAGTGGAAGCCGTTTATTGTAGGACAACAGAGGTATTTATACATTCCACACAGCTTATCTTAATTAGCATAAACTAGATACATCAGTCAACCAATAAGAAATCTCCACACTTAATGGCTCGCTGGTGTTACTTCACAAACCACTCCCTCTGGCAAAATGCCAGGTGCCATCCTGACTTGTTTACAGACTCTAACACTTAAAATCAAATAATTTCAGTTTGAATCTTTATCATTTTTTATCTATGAAATGGATTTTATAATAGTAGCTATCTCTGTGGGCGGTTTTCTTAGTCTGTTCAGGCTGCTACAACAAAACACTACAGACTAGGTAGATTGTTAACCACAGAAGTGCATTTCTCACAGTTCTGGAGGCTGGAAGTCCAACATCAAGGTGCAGGCAGAGTCTATGCGGGCCTGGTGCCTCCTTGCTGTGCCTCGCTTGGTGAAAGGGGTTCGGGGCTTTTCTGCAGCCTCTTTCACAAAGGCACTAATCCCATGCCTAAGGGGCTCCACCCTCACGATCCTATCACCTCCCAAAAGTCCCACCTCCAAATACCTTGACCTTGGGGTTAGGATTTCAACCTATGATTTAGGGGGGACACAAACCACACATTAAATGTGTTACTTCCACCTAAAGTGTCCATTCTCACACCCAGCATGTAGTCGGAGGTTACCAAACGCCTGCTCTGGTGCAATGATCATTGTCATCCCTTGCCTGCCCCTCGCACAGATCCCTTCTACTTTTCCAATTATTTTTCTTCCTCCATTACTTGGGTTTCTGTAAGAAATCTAGTATCTTATGGAAGCATCTAAGGACTGCTGTTTCCTTTGCCTGGCACCTGGTGGGCACCTCAGCGCTTAGCAGACAAGGTTGGGGAAGCAGCCTTGGACGTGGGGAGGTGGATTTGATCTTTGGTTTCTCCCCCACTTCCTCGGTCCTCCGTCCTAACCATTGACGGCATTGACAGCATGGCCCTGCTCCAGGTGTCTGTGTTGTCTTGGGGGCATTTAAACGGGATAAATCCTGTCCTGACTTAAACAAAGCGTTAGTTCCAGGGGACAGGAGCTGGGTCTTCACCTCTGGTGGCCCCGCTGGGCCTTGCAGATGTCTGGTCCTGTCCCATCCCAGGTGCTGCGTAAGCACATGCCCTCCACTGCACGTGGCTGGGGGCAGATGCAGCAAGCTGTCACCTCTCACCCTCCCTCCTCCCTCCTCTCCAGGGACAGGAGCTGACCATCCGCCAGATCTCCCTCCTGGGCTTCCGAGACCTGGTCCTGCTGAAGGTGAAGCTGGGCGACTTGCTGCTGCTGGGGCCGCCATCCAAGCTGCCCTCCTCCATCATCCAGATGCTGCTCATCCTGCAGGTGAGGCCCCGAGGGAGGCCAAGGGAGGAGGCAGCCGCTGTGGGACTAACAGGAAGGGACCAAGTGACCAAGCACCTGAGCTTAGTTGAGAATTCTTTTGAGCTCGTTTGGCCACGTCCCTGAGTTCATTTGTTGATGTGCATTCACAGGGTCCCTGCTAGGTCCCTGGTCCTGTGCTCACTGCCGGAATTGTAGAGGGGCATGAAAAGAAGCGTGGTCCTTCATTCAGGAAGTGGACACTCCCCAGTTATGTCAGGGAGCTGTGGGTTGCAGGGGACAACAAGGAATTCATTTTTGCCTAGCACAAGCCAGACCAGGTCCTCAACGGAAGGCTCACAAGGCAGATGGGTTTTGTGACAAGGTGACACTGGTCAAGTTGCAAAGCCACCAGCGTTTCTTCACTTCCTGGCCTCTAGTTGTACCTGGTCTGCGTGTTTCTCTCTGATGCTCCCTGGCCTTACACAGACTCTCTTGGTCTTTCTCGATCCGTGGGGTCGCGTCCAGTGCTTTGGTTCCTGCCTGATCCATGTGGCAGGCCGAAGTAAGAGACTAACCACCCAGATGGCTGCCCTGTGTCTTTTGATCCCAACCCTCAAGTCAGTAACAGGACAGTGAGCCAACACTGTTGGTCCCTGGTGTTTGCAGCCTCAGGCCAAGGAATCAACCACCTCGTGAGGTTGGCATTGTGTGTCACTCCCATCACAGACCAGGAAACTGAGACCTAGGAAGTTCACCAACATTCTATTACCCCAGCTAGTAAGGGGTAATAAAATTGAGAACTGTGCACCCTGATTCCTCTCCAAAGGAAAGAATCTGATGGGCTGGCCTTGGGCTAAGTGAGTCCTCTTTGCCTAGTGGACTTTGACCTTGAGTGGGATCAAGTAGTCCAAACCTGGCCTCAGCAAGCCCATTCCTGTGTTGGGCACACTGTTTTCCCACAGCAGTGCTGCTCTCCCAGGTTCCATCCTCCATCAGGCTGAAGGGGACCCTAGGCTGCCCTCATAGCAGGCATGGAGCATCCAGCCAGGGGCCCCCGACCTGCCTCCCCTAGCTGCTGTTCTCTTTCCCTTCTCTAAGCTGGAACATCCTTCTGGGTGTTGTCCCCTTCCCTGTAATCCCAGAGGAGGAAGGGCTGCCAATAGGAAGAGGAAGAGTGGAATTGGCTGGAATGCAGGTGTGCAGCTCCCACCTGATTGAACTTGGCCTCTGCATAAGGAGTGAGCAGGACCTTTGTGCCCACTGTTCCCTCTGCCCACAGCACTCTGTCTTCTGGGACCCACAAGCCCCCTTCCATCAAGGCAGATCCTTGGGCTTCCATCTCACCCTGTGTCCCAGCACCCAGCCCAGTCTTTGGCACATAGTAGGTATTAATTAAACACTGTTCACTGAGTGGTAGCACCAACTAGCAAGAGCCTGAGTGAGACTGACCCCGGGTCCCCGGCCCCAAAGATTACGATGGCTTGTGACCATCACACAGGGCTGAGAGAAGTGTGGCTGGAGCAGGTCCAGGGTCTCGGCAGTTTTCTGGAGAGCTGGGCGAGGAAATGGTCCCTCCTGTGACTACCCCGTTGTTTGTTCCGTTTCAAGCAGAGAGGGAGGATGAGAGAAGCTAGCTCAGGGACTCAGGACCACATACTAATTTGTAGCCAGCTGACTGCTCAGCAGCTCCCGGGACCCTGCTTTCTGCCTTCGTCCTGCAGCACCCCCTCCATGCTCTGAACCCCCTCAGCACCACCCTTCAGTTCCCTTAGGGCTTCCTGGAGTAGCTTACTCAGGAGCCACGGGGCAGGGATGGTGACTGAAAGCAGGCCTTTCCCTCCTCCTGAGCAGCAGCCTGGGTCTGAGTGGCATTTCAGGTGGCGCTGCCCTGGGGCCGTTCCTGTTGCAGGAACCCTGGGTCTCTGTACTTAGAATTGTCATTCTCTGCACAGACCCCTACTTTCCCCAGGGTCATGAGGCCTGGGGCTGATTTTTCCAAAGCCACCTGACTGCTAGGAAAAAGAGCCCTCTCTCAGACTTCAACTCTCCCTTTTCCAAAATATATTGGAGCCAACCCTTCCCCTCCTTCAATACACAGGGTGTTCTGCCAGCCGAGGGGTCTGTGCTCAGGCTGGCCTGGTCAGTGGCGGAACCAGAGACTTTAGCTATGTGCTGGACCCTGGAGGCCCTCCATGCCGGGCAGGGTGTGTGACCTGTGCTTCCAGGACCCTGCGCCTGGCTCCATTGTCTCCCATCACCCACTCGGCATTCGTGATAGCTTTTGGAGGAAGGGACCTTTATCTTTCCTTTGCTCTGAGTGACAAAAGGGTCACAGCCAGTCTGCTGACCAACGGAGGGCAGAGAGCGGCACCCTGGCAGAGGGCACCTGCCAGCCCAGCTCTCGAGGCTGTGTTCCTGGGAGAACCAGCCACCAGCTCCGCGTCACGTGCTCCTGGCCCACTCCCTCCCACCTGTAGGCCTCTCATTTTCCTGTCACCTCTCCCCAGTTAGTGCTCAGGAATTCTAGGGGGGAAGGGGCCATGGATGAACCCAGATGAGAACTGTCAAGGACAAAACAAGAGAGAGAGAATGGGAAAGTTTCCTGGGCTCTGAGGCCCAGTCAAGGTGGTTTTGTGGCTGAAACCGCTCGGCTCTTGAGGCCTGGTGTGGTTCCTGGGGCGCCTGAGCAGGGCTCCCCTTTTCCTTCTGCTGCCTCAAGGCCTCCCTCCACCTGGGGCGGCTGTGTCTCCCTGAGCTGAGCAGCTCATTTGCTTTTTCTGTTCATTTCCACTGTTGAGTCTCCGGGGACTTCTGTCTAGTATGGGTGGATTGGAGCAGAGGGTGTAGAGCACCCTGGCTGCTAGGCCCGGTGTGTGTCAGGCCCACCTATTTTTTTTTTGCATCTCCTCTCTCCAGACCCCTTCCCAGCCCCAACCTCCAAATCCTCTGCCCCTCCCCAACTTCCTTCTATTTTCTTAAGCAGCCCCTCCCTGAACCACTCGCAACCCCCCCCCCCCACACACACACACACATACCCCATCTCTGTGGGATGCAGGTGAGAAGGGCCAGGACCCGCGGTTTTCTAGAAGGACCCCTGGCCTATAGGAGTTGGCTCTTCCTGCCTCATTGCCTGGCCATCTTCTTACATTTAAGTGAAAGTAATTGAAAATCTGTTTTGAGAATTTGACATGATAAACTTTCAGGCTGAGCACAGCCCCCCAGAACCTGGCTTCTTCCTTCTTAGGACCCTGTCCCTTGCTAGGCGGCCTCTACTTCCTCCCAGTCCCTCCACAGGAGAGCGTGCCTCCACCTCCTTTGCAGGGAGAAGCGGAGTTCCCAAGGAGTTCGCTGGGCTTCTAGAAAGCGCTGGTTACAGGCTTCTCTGTGGGTTTGGCCCTTGGAGTTATTAGGGTTGGTGTTTATTCGGGGTTTGATTGTGAGGACTCCTGAGCTGCCGGGCTTTTGAACAGGCTCATCCTGTTGCTGCAAAACGTCTGCCTGCTTCTAGTCCCTTTCTTGTGCTGTTCTGGACTTTTCCATATTCTTTTCCCCCTTTTTAGCCTGTTAATAAGTGATAGTAGGATAGGCTCAGAGACAGATAGCCTGGGCTCTGGCTTGGGCTTTATCCACCAGCTGTGCTTGGCCAGGCAACTGACTTCAGCTCTCTGGGTCTGTAGAAGGGAGTTGACGGGGGCGCCTCCCCTGTGGTTGTCAGGAGGCCTCTGCATTAATACAAGTGAAGCGCTTATATAAAATGCACGTGCGCTGTAGGCAAACTGGTCACGCCATTGTGGGTGGGGTTATCATGGGACCAGTGAGACTTTGGCCTTGGAGCTGGAGCTGGGTCTGTCCCACCCATGCTGCCTTGGAAGGGCCCCCTAGGAGAGGCCGCCATGTATTCACCAGGTGCTGTTCTGACCCCTGTGATCTGAGACAAGTGATGAGGGCGCCAGGCCTCAGTTTCCTTTATTCTAATCTCTAGAAGGTGCCTGCTGGCCACACTGCCTGTGCACAGCAGCAGGGCAGGAGGGATGCGTTGACACGCGTCCACTGGCCAGTTTTCACTGACTGACTGATGTTCTTTCCAGAGTGTTCACGAGCCCACTGGTCCAAGTGAGGGTTATCTGCAGCTGGAGGAGCTGGTGAAGCAAGTGGTTTCTCCTTTCCTGGGCATCAGTGGGGACCGAAGCTTCTCAGGACCCACGTACTCACTGGGTAAGGGGCACAACTGCCACATTGCCAGGGGCCCGGGCAGTACAGATGCCAGTTACCTTGTACCGAGCACTGACTGCATGCTGAGCACTTTGCTTTCAGTGTGGATCAGTGCAAACCTGTGTATCTTAATCTCTCATGTCCCCAGCCTGGGTGGCAGTGACCTCCCCCGGGGTGATTCCTCCCCAAGGACTGAGCCCAGCCTCCTCCGTGGTGGAGCCTGTCTGATCCACACCTTTGATCAGTGACTTTGATCTTTTTCATGACACAAAAAAAAGACATTTATGTCTCTATCGGATGTCAGAAACCCTGCCTTATTCCACCCTCCCAGGCTTGAGTGGAAAACCCACTGATGAAAGCACTCAGATGTGGAGCCAGATTGTCACATGCATAGCCAGGTGCTCTGGAGCTGCTGTCCCCTGCTCTGTTTCTGTAAGCACTACCAGGCCTGCACTGCAAGGAAAGGGGTTCCTGGGTGTGGATACAAATCCTGGCTATTGATGGCTCTGAAGCTGTATCGGCATCAGGCTCTGTACTAGGTCCTTTGAAGAACTTAGAGATGAATCAGGTCTGTTCCTTCTCAGACCACAGTCTAGATGGTCTCAGTAGAAATTGCTGAGTAATAGAATCTCAAGTAGCTCTCAGTGAAACCACAGTCGTGGTAGGAACAGCTCTGTGATAGGAATTGTAATAAAAGACATTCCTCAGCGACTGCCTGAAATGCAAACCCTTAAAATGCAGGAACTTGTTCAGTGTTCTGTCCCAGCAACTGGAATGGTGACTGGCTGTACCCAAGCCCAGGCACTTGGCACCCACAGAGAGGTGTGGAACAGGAAGCAGTACCTGCATCTGGAAACTGTTGCCCCTCTTTTCGTGGAAATGGAGTTGTAGCTGAGCTTCAAAGCCAAGGCGAAGTGCAGAGAGACTCCTGCCTTTCCTGGGCCTCCCAACTGCAGAAAAAGGCAGAGCCTTTCACCGGCAGTTTTCCCAGCCCTGGTCGTGTTTCTCTGGAGACACCAGCTTAACCACAGACACCACAGATAGGAGGGTGCCGGCCCAGCCTGCTGCTGCCAGGTCCCCCCCCCCAACCCCCGACTCCTCTCACTCCACCCAGGAGCTGGAAATGACACAGAGGGAGACTCGCCTGCCCTCTCCAGCCCTGAGCCGGGCATGCTATTGCTGCGGTCTCCCTGGAACCCCCTTCCCGCTACTGGCTTGGCTCATGGAGTTTGGTGGGGGGAGTGTGGGGAGGTCCCAGGGAGATGTCAGGACACCACCAGATTAGCTGGGCCCTGACCACTATCTGGGCCAAATGCCAGAACAGGGAGAGAAAAAAAAGTCATTTTTCTTTAACTCTCCTACGTTCTTAGTTGGAAGAGACTCCTAGGTCATATTAACAGAGAGAAAGAAAAAAAAAAAAGAATTTCTTAACATATATATTTTATATATACATAGAAGACACCCAGGGAGCAAGTAGCTTTCAAATAGGCAGCTTTGAATCCTGGCTGTCACAGCATCTTCAGTGAAGAACAGGGACTTTTTAGAGAGGTGACAAGACAAAGGGAAAAGAGTCTCTAAGGGCAGCACCTTGTGGGAAGCGAGTGAGTGGTGGCTAAGGGCCGGCTGGGAAAGCCTGAGAGTGCAGACCCCGTCATCCCCGGATGGCAAGGTGTGAAGTCGTCTGCGGTGCTACCTTTGACTTTGGAGTCTGTGTCCTGCTTTCAGCCCACTGGACTGGGTGGGTGGAGTAGATTTGGAAGTGTATTCTGTGGGGACTCAATCTACAGTCAGAATAATATCCATTTTGTCAAATTATAAGGCAGAGGTGGAGCTGGGCACCGTGGTGCACACCTGCAACTACACGGGAGGTTGAGGTGGGAGGATCTCAAGTTCAATACCAGCCTCAGTAACTTAGTGAGACACTGACTCAAAATAAAAGGCCTGGGGATGTGGCTCAGTGATGAAGCATCTCTAAGTTCTATCCTCAGTACCCCCCCCCCTCAAAAAAAACACAAAAAACCCCCACAACAACAACAACAAAAAAACAAAACCCAACAACAAAAAAAATATGTATCAGTTGGTGGTATGAGCCTTTACTCTACCAAGGACAGTGGCGCCCTGTGACCCTATCCCAGGCACCTTGCATGGTGCTGCAGGTGCATCTGTGAACAAATAGGGCCCATCCTGCCCTGTAGGGAGGAAGTCAAACAAGGCACAGGGGCCTCCGAAACCTCAGCAGGAGCTTCCCCTGGGCCAGGAAACCAGAGGAGGCTTCCTGGAAGAGGCATTGATACTGCTGGTTATCCTGAGTCCTGCTTCCCCACATGTCGAAGTTTGAACTTAGAGAAACATGCGCAAGCATATAAAGCAGGCTTTATTTAAAAAGGGGTAGCATAAACTTCTCCCAGGAGGGAGAAGGGGGCCACAGCTGGTATCCTGGTATCCCGAGAAGCAAGGTGTTCTGCCTTTTTATATGTCCCAGGCTTCCTTTGTTCTCCTGCCTTCCCCCCCTTATCTTTCTCCTTCTTGCGTTTGTGACTAGGCCCAGGGTGGGAACCAGGTGGGCTGAAGGGGGAAGGGCAGGATGGAGCAGCCAAGGACACATTATTAACCTTATAGTCCTCTGTAGGAGGGACAATTCCTGGGACAGGTTACCTCAGCAACAGGTTGGTGCAGGGGCATGTTCTTAATCAGGGTGGAGGAAGGGCTCTGAAGGCATTAACATTTCAGTCCCCAGGGGACAGTCTCCAACTTCCAGGACCCATCAAAATTGGCCTCCTTGATCCAACCTGACTCGATTTACCTATCTATGCTGACTGCCTGTCTAGTTCTGGCTTCAGCAATGTCTGTGATGGGAGCCAGACATGGCTGGAATAGGAGTTAGGTGAGGAAACAGGGAGAGAAGCCAGCACCAGGCAGAGGGGTAGACCTCTGGGAGAACTCGAAGGTGGTGAGTGAGCAGAGGGGGGACCATTTAATGGACTGAAAGGCTTTAGAATTGCAGAGTGGGGGGGCTGCAAGGGAAGCCACTGGACATAGACCACATCCTGGGCACTGGGCCAGGTGAACTAGACCCGCCATGTAGGTGCTTCCGTTCCCATCTGACAAGTGAGGCACATGAGGATGAAGGCCACTTGGCTGGTGGAGTCAGGATTCAAGCCCCAGCTGCCTCACACATTCCGCCACCACCCCGCCCTATCCCCTTGGGCATATGGGACTAGAGTTTACTAAGGGACAGGTGAGAGATGTCCTTCCCTTCTCTTCCTTAGTCCAAGGTAGCCTCAGCCAGACTTTTTATACCAAACCTCTGGATAGCAAAAAGCTGAGGTGCTTTTCCTCTCTGAGCCTACCTCTTCAGGTAGGAGGGTTCCCTCTGCCCCACCCCAAGAGGAGGATGGTCACCTTTCCCCAGCCTGGGCAAGAGGGCACTAAGAAAAATGGCAAAATAACGACTAATAACAGTGGGCCTGAGAAATCCCTTCACCCACCGAGGGCTCAGCCAGGACTTGAGTGGGGGTAGGAGTGGTCAAGGGCAGCTGCAGCCTTCATTTCAAAAGTCACTCATCAAATGCCCACCACACTGTGTGGGGACCAGGCTCTGGGCACCCACTCCTTCCTCCAGGCTCTGGGCACCCACTCCTTCCTCCCTCGCACAGCCCCGCCCCCCCCCCAGGGGCCTGCTGTGGTCACCTCAGACTCAAGGGGCACCCCCGGCATCCCAGGCCAGAGCAGTGTGTCACACACTTCAGAGGTGTGTCTCCCTGTCCCACAGTCCCTGAATCCTTGAGTCCTGGAGAAGTCCCTTTTCCCACAGGCCCCTGCCCTGAATATGTGAGGCTGGCTTCGGAGAGAACCAAGGAGCCCTCCCAGGCCCCAGAGGGAGAGCGTGTGTGTGCCCTCCCCACCCCACAGTGGTAGCAGAAAGAGCAGTGGTAGCAGAGGGGGGAGGGGAGGGGAGGGAATCCTACTTTAAAAGCAGGTTGGTCAGAGGCCGGGCCCTGTGTTACCTTTCAAGTTCCTGAGCTGCCCAGGGGCCCTCAGCAAGCACTCAGGCTGCTGGCTTGATTTCACAGAAGCCCTGGCCTCCCACAAGCCTCCCTCCACGGTGTCTGGGCAGCCCTTCTCCTGAGTGCCAGTGCTGGACACTGACACTTCCCTGCATGACAAGGAAGGGTTCTTGGGCTTTCAGGTGCGGGGCCTGGAGAAGGGCCTCCTGTGCAGGGGTCACAATGGCCGCATTATGGAGAGCCTGGGGATCAAAGGCCTCAGAGCCAGTCCCCAGCCAGGGCCCTAGCCAGCTCAGTCCAGGCTTTGCTTCTCTGTGGGGATTTGAAAGGAGCTGCCATTGTTGGCTCCCTCTGGATGAATGCCAGAGCTCAGCAGGGAGCCGGGAGTGCTCCAGGACAGGCCTCTGCAGCTCAGAGAAGTAAACTAACTTACTCCAGGCCACATGGCTGAGCCTGGCCCTTGTGGTTTCCAAGGCCCCACTCCTTCTATGTTGCCTCCACAGATGCCCCCGGCCCCACCCCGTGCGAAAGGCCAGGAGGAGGAAGCAGAGGGGGCCAGGAGGGCCTGGAGGTGGGCAACGGAGGTGGGAACCCAGCCCTCTCCCCGCTGAGGGTGCACCTTGCACGGAAAAGACCAGTGTTTAGGCCCTGGGGGGCACCTGACCCGAAGTCTAATTGACCTCTAATGTGAGCTGCCCCTCCTTGGGTGACTGAGCCTGCCTTTTCTGGTGCAAAGAGAAAAAGAGGGAGAGAGCAAGAAGCAAGTGTGGGCAGCTGTCCATCAGCCAGGCCTAGCAATTGGTTTGAAGACTCCTATGGCGCCCAGCGGGGGTTGACCCTACCAGGACGCTGCTGACTCATTTGCCAGAGGGTTGACTCTGAGTCTGGCAGGAGCTTAGCAGGGAAGCACTGTCTGCCCCGAGATTTGACTTAGCCATGCGTCCCCTGTGGTCTCAGCTCTGCCCACCCCCAATCTTGGGAACCAAAACATTCCTC